ATGACCATCCTTGATGCATCGCTCTCAAACGAAGAGTTGTGCGACAGAGGTGTTTCGACTCATTTTGAGTGCTTGCACCTCCTTATCTACGACAAAAACTTACTTTGCTATGCTAGCGAGAGAGTCCCCTAGCTCTTGTACCATTATCATTGTCGGAGGAGAAATTCTCCTCGTCCAGTTTCTAGACTTGGCGACCATCAACACATAGTGCTCGAGAGCGCTTTGCTCGGTCATTTGAGACACGTCACCTACGGCCGTTTGATTCACCATCACCGTGGTGTTTAGAATCAACAAATATTGAAATAGAGGAAATCAAACATCACACATATGAAAATCAAACAATCTTATTAACCAAATCATTGAGTTTACATGGCTAGAACCCATAGGGGTCACTTACCTACGCAACTAAGGAACTTAGCGGACCATGAGGAGGGTGTCTGGGGTGTTCATTGTCAAAAACAAAACAAACAAAAAAAAAAAAAAAACTCGAGCACCAAGATATCGACGGCCAAAACAGGGAACACAAGCCCATTGGCGCCAATTTAGTCGTCGATTCTCCCTCGAAGGTGGGGTCGCTCTAAGTCATGAGGATTGCTCAGTTGGCAAAGTAAGACCCTTCCTTGACCTCTCGTTTGTCCTCCCCTCGATTCTAGCTCTAGAGCCTTATTTATTGTTTTTCCATTAGCCTTTACAAGGAGAGAAAATTGCCCCCACTACGTCATTCAACCAATCATAAGCCTCCAAACACATTGTATCGAATCAGGATGCTTCTAGACGACTTCTTGACGAAGTGGTTGGCTCCAGCAGAACGGCACCACGGCCGCCCTTTCCTTTAGTTAAAACGCCATCGTTGGTGCCTATTTTCTTTAATGTCCGGTCTTTGAATTCTGGCTCCATCAACTTGGGCTCGATGTCCTCTACAGCTTACAAGCGGCCCAATAGGCTGCTCGGCCCTGAATATGCACATAACGCTACCCAAAAGCGCATCAATTGTATAAAAGAAATCATAGAGTAGCTAGGACGCACTTGAAGCAATTACAGCAATAATCCAATGCATTATGACGATAATAATGGGAAAAGTAAGCACTTTTGGTCAAAGTACGGGGGTTTAGAATAGCGCCATTCACGTGTCATCACTAACCAATGAACCAAATTTTCTTTATGATGAAGGGTGATACCGAAGCAATTGTTTATGCTCTTTGCATGGGCAACAACGGACAACATATTAAGTTGATAGTTCTCACCTATAACAATGCACTAAAAGGAATTAAAATCTAGACTACTTATAATACATTTTAAAGAGTTTGATTTGCTCCATTTCAAATTTCCTGCAACGAGAGTAAAAGTAGGAAGGGTATTTTTGTCTACACAAACAATTTTTTATTTCATATAAAAAGATATCAATGTTAGGATTTGAACCATTTCTCTTCCACCAAAGACAAGAATTGTAACCAATTAGACTGGACACAGTTGTTGTACTTTATTAATACAAAAACATAGAGTAAGTTAAAATTATGAAAAACAAAGTACTTTTCTATCACGGTTAGTTAGCCCGCTAAGTCTCCTGTAAGTATTTGTGGTGTTTGATACTTCTATTTTCATATTTTAATAAGTAATTTATAATTTTTTCTAACTTATAAATGAAGGATAATCTTAAAATCTCAACTCAAATATTATTGGTTTGAATATTGCGCATTGAATTGAAATGTTGAATGAAGTGTTCAATGACGACATAAGAACACTGGTACCATACATTTCAAGAAAAATAAACATGACAAACACCGATACCAATTATATCGACAGTCTATGCTAAAATTCGAAATTGTTTAATCATTCAATTTGAATGATAGTTTAGTTAAATCAAGCAAATAATTCACGATTGTGTATGAACAAAAATAAAAACATATGTATTGTATTATGAAAAATGTATTTATTTTAACAATCTAAAAAAACAATCAAAACTTCCATACGACCCCTTATTTCAATAATGTAGTTAATGAAATAATTTTTATCAGCATGATGCAATGTTCAAGCTAAGGTCCAAGTATTAATCACAAGTATATAGTATTCATCATAGTTAACTATTTCAATATCCACAACTAACTATTAATGATTACTTGCTTTCTCTTAGAGAGTTTAATGTAGCACTCTCATGGCTAGATATGCTCTAAGCATTTGTTTTCTTTTTCACAATATCATTTGCAGTTATTTATTAAATCAACTTTGTTTCTAGCTTTCAATTCCTAATTATTCACTTCTTACCAACTTATGGGAATGCTAAATATATTTTCCATGTCTAATCTATTAAACATAAATGTTGCTTATCACTTAAATTCAATGGTATCCATGTTAGGTTTGATGTCACCAACATATTCTCTCAATTTCTCCAAAAAGCATAATATCTTGCGATTGATATCATAGTTTCGTTAGGTAAATTTCAACAAACTCAATCAATATTCGAACTCTTCGAAATAGCTATCTACATGCGAATATGAAGTACTGAGCAGCTAAAAATCTACTTGAGTTAGTACAATCTTTTTCGCTATCGATTCAAAATTCAATACATGATTATATTACAATTTAGTCATACTAATTGTGCAGTAGGGGACATCTTATCAAAATCTTAAAGAAAGACTCTTTGATTGATCGCTTTCATGATGTAATCAATTATACCAAAATAGAAGTAATCAAATTTATAAGATGCACTCAAAGTTTGCTACAATTATTGAGGTTCAGCAGCACGTTAGGCGTACGGCGGTCATTGGGTATTTCTCTATCTCCTAGCTCGCCTAGACATGCTTAGACATTATAATAAAAATAGCAATTTTAATAATAATGAATAAAATAACGGTTCTAAAACACTTTCATACTACGAAATAACTCTCAAGTTTATAAATTATTTTATTTTACCAAATGATATAATTAATTCATTCACGAGCTGAAATAGCTAATTATAAGCACTTCAAATTTAAGTTAAAACTCTATATGATGCAATTGCTTGATGAAATGGGTTTTATAATAGAGTGGTTCTATCGAGAGCTCTAAGAAACATGGCTTACTTTATTATTTCTTAAGTGGATATAATATCTATCTTCATCGTTACTTTTACATTGGATTCAGTTTAGTATACTTTTTCATTTAGATAGATTTTTTTATGATGTTCTAGGATATAATATATCATTATATATGATGGTGTAGGATATTAAATCCTCTCATTTTAGGCTCAAATTGATGCATTTTCTCCTTTACCGTTCCCTTTTATTGGTTAATAATTTTTTTATGATATTTTTCACTTATCGTGAGCGGAATCATTACACAACAATTTGTGTTTTTTCGCTTCCTCTTCTCTTGGTTAGATATTGTGTCCATATTGATTCCTATATTGATTATCGAATTACTACTTTTTTGTTCTTTTTTCTGATGCAAGATATGATTTTATGTTTGATAATATAGATTTATTTTTCAAGCATGTGGCTGCTTGAGACTTTTCATTTGCCTCATAACTTACACGACAATGGCTCCAAACTTGGATGGGTTTCTATTCAGCATATAAATTTTTAATGATGTAAAATTTATGAAACTAAGATGCATATTAATAACAATGTAAGGTCTCATCTTCCCTCTTAAGCACTACATATCATTGTTTACTTATCATTAAATCAAACTCTTTCTAACTTGAGTAAGAGCTACAATGACTTTTATTAACTTTCACTGCTCATATATCACAAATGTTCAAATCATTATCAAGTGTTCATACAATGACTTTTATAGTTGTGGATTTCCCCCAAAATGTTAGGTATGTTGATTTTAGTTTTTGCCTTGTTTTCACTTTGATTTAGATGTTTATGTGTTGCTCTATTAGTTGAACTTGCCAGCTGGAGATCTGCATGCTTTGTTTCATTATATCATTGAATACACTAAAGTCAATGGAACCATGACTCTGTCAGTTAGTTTGTTTCTTTTTAAGGACACTCTAAACATATACTTTGTTTCATTATATCATTGAATACATGAAAGTCAATGGAAAATGCAGAAAAAATTATTGTATACTAAAGATTGATTATGTATGTGATGTAAAACAACTCTTATCATTGTTCTTATTTGACATTTTTATATGGATATGACTTTGTTTGAAAATATGTATTTTTGTTAGTGTAGTTGGACATTGTTTGTCATTTTTTAAACTTCATTAGTCAAATACATTAAATACTTTACTATATTATTCATGGAGAACTTACCAAATTAAATAGTTACTTCGATCCCCAACAACATGAACCATAAAAAAATATATACCTCAATGTTTACTACACATACACATGAAAATCAAACTCTCCCGGCCAAGAGGCCGGACCCTAATCTAGTAAGGGTTAATTCTACTAGGAAGCCCAAACTATCCTAAAAGTGTTATTTGTGTCCTAACCTATTCAATATGACAAATCTGTCATAATACGATGATACAATCACGGTTTTGCATAGTTTTGCAGGCCGAGATTTTGTATGGAAACCCAAAACCTTAAAAATTAAGATATAGTATCATAAATATTTTTAGTTAATTTATAATAGCGCCAGTTCACTATAAAAAGAAACTCATAATTTATTTTATTCGTGTGTATTGTTTGTTTGGGTTTTCTCAATAACAAAAATATGCTGTATAAAAAAAAAAAAAAGAATTGTCGCTTGCTCTCTCCGTCTACAAGTTAGAAAAGAAAAGCATATTAATGAAATTTGGTCCAATCCCTATCAGGCACGTAAGTGGTTGCAGCCAGTTCCTCTAACTCGGATTGGAGATAAATATTATCCCATAAAATACATACTAGCATTAATGGTTGGTTCTAATCCGCCATGAACCATGAATTCATAATTCAAATCAAATTAGAATGCCTAAAATATATGTTAGCAAATAGTTGAATCGATTATCGATTAACCGCTAACTGACTTTCTTTCGGTTATTGGCTATTCGCTGACCTATAAACCTCTATTGTCAGCCAACCTACCACATCTTTAGACAATTAACCCAATAACTGCCTGGCCAATCTTCAGCCTCAACGGTGTCTTGCCCTCGTCTTGCCAATTGAACCCAGTGGTGAAAATCAAAGACCCAGTTTTGCATTGGCTTTCTTTTGCTAATATAACCTGCCAGATTTTGCCTTGTTTGTTACAGAAGTACTGGCGCAGTCAACATCATCACGACGATGGGGAAGTTTACCTGCCAAAGATAGGATAGGAGCAACAAGAATTCAGAAACCTCTACTCTGAGTCTAACCCACCAAATTTGCCCCTAACCTTCAGATCAGTTTGATAAGCAAATAATTGCATACACACCCGTCGCCAATTTCTTGTTGGGTCCAGCCACAACCAAGAAGCCCAGCCCAGCCCAACAAGCCCATCACTATGTCTATGTTTTGTTCCAATTCTTGTGAGCGTACTTCCCCACCTTATCCGCCTCCCTTCCCAAACAAGTAGCAGAGCATATGCTCCCCTGACCTCTACAATGGATCCTTTTCAATTCTCCACCACCCAGAAACTCACCACCATCCTCGCCATAGCCAAAAACCTCCACTGAAAAAGCAACAGCATATAACTTCAATTTCTCCAGTTCCATGGCGTCCGCAGCCACAAGACCCACCTTCACCTTCCACCTCACAACAGCATCCCATTATCACTCAAAACCCACAACCAAATGCCACTTCCACAAACTAACGCCACCCTCCATTTCCCTCCACAAACTCCACAGGCCTTCCCTTGTCGCCATTTCCTCCATTGATGTCTCCAAGGAGGACAAGCCGCCAACTTCCGAACCCACCAGCGAGCCGGCGGCAGAGCTATCATCCGCTCCCTCAGAAACTGAAATCGAGCAGCAATTCGACAAGCGGAGGCTGGAGGAGAAGTTTGCAGTGCTGAACACGGGGATCTACGAGTGCAGGTCGTGCGGGTACACATTCGATGAGGCCGTCGGTGACCCCTCGTACCCGGTTCCACCGGGCTTGCCATTCGAGCAGCTCCCGGGGGACTGGAGGTGCCCGACCTGCGGAGCTGCTCGGAGCTTCTTCCAGAGCAAGAGCGTGGAGATCGCTGGGTTCGCCCAGAACCAGCAGTACGGGCTGGGAGGGAACGCCCTCACTTCTGGGCAGAAGGCCATTTTGATATACGGGAGCCTGCTGCTCTTCTTCGGTCTCTTTTTGGGCGGCTACTTCCTGCAATGATCGTTATATATATATTAGTGGTGGTGTCTCCCAACTGGTTCTTTTTCTAGCTTCTCCTTCTCATTCATAACTCCCTGTGTGCTTCTATTATATGTGTGTTCCTATGAGCATTGTATAGACTACACGGTTTGAAGTACGTACTACTGTCACATGATTCTTCTAGCTAGCTTTTTTTTTTTTTTTTTGTCCAAGGGAGGACAGAGTCAGAGAGATAACAATTAACATACCAGAATGGCAATCCTCTCCTTGGGCAAAGAACCTTGAGAGTACTGAACTTTACCACCCAATCAGCTCTAGAGTTGAACCTCCTCAAGATCTTGCAGTGTCAATCAGCTAGCAAGCATGAGAGTCTCTTTTACACCTAGCAACCACCTCAAGGAGGATCAGATGGTTAGTCTTCTGCAAAAAAAAAAAAAAAAGGGGGGAGCAAACCAAACCATCATGTTCCAGCTTGATACATACCAAGAATAGCAAGAGCATGAGTTATTTCTCTCGTCTCCCCTGTGCGCCATCAGGAATCCTCGCCAGGTCACCAACAGCCTTGCCGCATGCCACCTGCAGAACTTATCACGTTCACAGTAGTCATACAGCTCAAAAGTTCCCCCAAGAAATAATGATCCTTTTCTTTTTGAAACGGAAATGATAATCTTTATAGAAGTTGTTTGTCTTTGAATAACGAAAACAGACATTGCCACAAATGATATAAGCATAAATAAACACCTATTACAAGGATACTAAGAAAATAATTACACCTATCTTGAATCATGCGCAACTAACTGACTCTTCTCCAGTATAGAACTCCACAAGGATGAATCCACATTTTCTACCTTTCAAGAGACCTAACAAATAACCCAGGCATTACAACAACCCTACTTGTATACACTTTTTCCCTAACAGCTCCTGCATCTTTAAGGTATATGCCATCCTCACAAATTGACCAAAACATCCAATGGCTGACTTAGGTGGAGATGGTACAACACCTTGGACGAGGGAGAACATGTTAAAAGTTGCACATCCCGCTCTGCAATGCTACTGGTGGCTTGGATCAGCTACGGCATTTGAAGCTTCCGGAGCTGCCCGGTTCTTGATAAGATAAACCTGTTTCACCTGCTGCTTCTCATTCACACTTCTTGTCGCTGTTTCTTGTCTAAAATAAGTGCCCGCCACTCCATCCGGTATGCTATTGATCCACTTGGTAGGTGGCGAAGGAATGGGACCCGCGGGGGTCTGCTCATACTGGTGGTTTGAGTTCTTCAGAAATCCTGAATTCGGCCTCCGCTGTAACAGCACTGGAGGTGGCCTGACTCGGGTGGTCTCTTCATCTAGTGTCAAAGTGTACATTCCCATCCTCAGGTCACGGGGTTTTTCGTGGTTCTGCGGTACCCTCTCTGGTGGTCTAAAGTTGTGCCGAGGTCCTTGGACGCCATTCATTGGGTTTGGATATCGAGGCCCACCCTGTTGGTAGTAGTTGTTGTGTCCATAACGGTAGCTTTGATCATCACCATAGCCGCCTCTTCCATAATGAGGAGCAGGCATTTTGCTTCTGTTGGAGATATGATTGTTACCAGCACTGTTATTATATAGAGGCTGATCGAGCAATCCTCCATTGTTTGACCTTATGCTAAGAGTGTTCTTAATAAGACGATGAGCTGCTTCTCCCAATTGTGGACCGGCAATTGCCCCGGGTAATTGATGCCTGCACACAAAAAATTAAGCATTGCTTTTAGCTAATGACTACAATAATCCCACAACTTTTGGAGTTTTACTGAAAGAGAAAGGGATAAAATTGGAAAGCTTAATAACAAAGTAAAGTGAGTCCACATCACTTTAAATTATATATTTTAAAGGTACAAGTTAGAAGTTGAAATGATGTATTTGATTAGAAGTTGGTTATTTGATCTATTGGAGGGATCGACTGATGTATTTGAGAAAGCATTCAAGATCCATTGCCTGTCTCTGCCTTGTTGTCGCCGCCCACTGTTGTCTTCGTGCCATAGTATGGGGAATGGTTTGATATCGTAGCCCTTTACGATCTGCAGTTACATCACAGAAGATTGGGGCAAAACAATTAGCAAAGCACGATACAGTGACAAGACATCATACGGGGAGCCCAGAATCCAACAATAGCTATGCCACATAAATCCAGCCCCATTTCTAAATCCCATTATCTATTCCCCAAACCCAAACAGGTATCATTCAGTGAAAAAGAATTTGAACTTTGAGAGCGCAAGGAGCATTTCCAATCAAGTTCAAGTAGAGCACATTATAAATGTCCGAGTCACCAAATGTCAAACCTTAATAGGAGAAGTGATGTTGGACCTTCACATACAAGTTTGAGATATGCAGGAAAACTAGATGTATACATCCTTCTCCTAAATATAGATAAAATAACAATTACAAGCATCAAGATCTTACAAACCTTTGCAGGAAATTTTACACCATCTGGAGGTTCTGGGATGTGTCTATGGCTTACAGGAGAAAGATATGTGATATTTCTGCAAAGAAGATGCTAACAATGACATAGAATTCATATAGTAGTTTCATAAAGCAAGACCAGGAAGCTAGACTTACAAAACTTGGTTATCCTCTATATGTGGCAATCCATTAACTGGGGATGGAACGAAGGTTCTGTGGACATTTCTTTCGCTCAACCCAATATATCCATTCATCCCACCGCTGCAAAACCCAGTAAAAACATTACAGCAAGCACATCATTTAGAAAGGCAATGAAAAATTACAAAATTAATCAATATTACGAACAAACCTAGCATTTGGGTCGATTGCCTGAAGAAACCTTGCATAAGGTGGTAACTGATAGTTATGATGGTAGTAGGAGACAATTTGCTGAGCTAAAGGATGAACAGGATGGACATAAAGCAGATCAAGCATCACACTATTGCGAACACGCTCCTCCTCCTACATATGCCAAATACGTTAATTATCACTCTTTGTCAAGACAGTCATGATTTGCTATTGCAGAGACATCAAATATCAAACCAGAGACCATCAGGATGCTTTAGAAAACCAACATTATATTAGTTTAATCTTAATATTTATGTGGAATATAAAAATTCAAAGAGCACATTCATGATCGCACCACGACTCCATACAAAAATTACCCTGATAATCAGAAACAAATTCCAGCTTCCAGTCTAAAAAAAAAATAAACTATGTTCAAAGTAAGGCTATATACTAATAGATCTATACCATCCCATCAACTCCACTTTTTAGAATTCCTAACTACACCCTACTTCTTCTCCTTCTCCAATTGTAGTTTAGCTCCTAAGGTCTCAGAAACACCGAAACAGAAACAACCAAAACCAAAGGCAGCATATTTAGAAGATTCAAGGTCATCACACAACCAACTCTGGTCAGTCCTATTATTTCCATAAGTCCTATAAATGAAGGATCTCAAATTCTCATTCAAATACTAAAATGCTGTCATTCTCCACATCTGCATAGCAGAATCCTCATCTCAAAAATCATCAGTGATGTAAACCAACTTAACAGACAGTCCATCCATAATCCACACGGTACTACAAATACTTATATCAATGGGAATAGTCAAAAGAAAAAACAAATAAGATGCAGACCGTTAAAGTACACTCAAGCTTCTTTGTTTGTGATAATAATTTCCTCTCGTCGATGAATGGCAATTTAGCAACACCCTGTAACACACCAGGAAATATAAGGACAAGTTCAACTGTTCAATACCAATCACTGACAAATTTCAGAAGTCGGCTTGACAATTTAAGATAACAATTCACCTGCCACGCAAAGCGTTTACCATTCATATCAATGTCAAAATCTGTCCACAGGGAGAAATAACAGAGTTGGTACCACAGGAACATGAAAACAATGATAAAAACATAGACATGGTCATCCCATCAAGTTAAAGTTACCAGAAGGGAAGAACGCTTGTAATGGTGATGAGGGGTCTGTCATCAGTTTTCGGTATTCTTCGGGCAAAGCATTAGAACTGCAGCAAATGCAAGTCCAGCATCAGCTTTGGGATGAAAGCACAAGGAAAGACCATTTACGCACAGGAGAAGGAGAAAAACCTTGCAGCTGGCAGGGTTCCCATGAGCTGATCAAAGGGCCTAAATGGCTCGCCTAAAAAGAAAGTTATCTCCAACTCGGTAAGATCCGTAAGGTCTGAGGCAAATGGCGCATAATGGTATGGATAAAACCTGTCATAACCACCAGACAATTATGCATCTTGCAGGCTGAAGTGTTGCTTAAGATGACAAAATGATAAGCATCCACGCTTTAAACAGTTCAAAGGGCAACTAAGCTGCAAAAAGGATGGTGCCCTAGAAGAGAGACCCTATGGTTCATGAAGAAATATCTTCTGGTTTGCCATACGCATGGAATACGCATCAACATATTCTGATTTTTCTATCTTACAATTTCTTTGGACTTAACAAGCGCAACACTTGTGCATGCTAATGCTTGCAATTCAATAAAACCCCAAGTTGGTTTAAGAAAGCGTTTAGAAGAAGAATAAAGTAGTTTAATTCAGTCACAATACTGACCATTGCCATGAGCAAACACCTTGGTAGTAGTACCGGCATACCCAACATAACCCTTCAACGTATTTCAGAACCTGCCCAGCATACAGACCAAAGACAAAATCAGAAAAAGAGAACCATTAGAAGGATGACAACAGACTTTGAAGTCTAGAAAGCATAGTACATTATCTCAATCCAGACAAATATAGCAGATACAGCAATGATATTGAGTAATCAAATAAAAGCTAAAGGTCGAACCAAATTTGCAGAGGAACTTACTACGTCTTTTCGCACTTTGTCTAGCTCCTCCGGAGTTGATGCATCAAACTTTTCAGCATAATATCTTTCTTTGTATCCAACTTCGCCAAGTTTAACCTAATAAGAATGAAAATGAGTCAAACGACAAAGACAAGTTGAAGCCAATATACTTCAAGAGGTTTTAGCTAAAGTGAGGCATTGATTCAATTGCAAGAAAAAAGACCAAATGTCAGCACAGCAGTTGAAAAGCAACTGAACCAAATACGTAGGCAAAACAAAGAGCCACCCAAGAGCAATATTGTGCATTTTCAACCCCAGCAACAGAACTGCCATTGGGTTTGGATGATATGCATACCAGAAACTGAACTGACTATGAAACGCATTAAAGTTCACAGCCACTTTCACCAACATAAAGAGGAATTCCCGTCCACAAATAGAAAAGGCTAAAATGAAGGAAGCTGTATGCAGTAACAAAAAAACATACTCCAACTACTAGGCACAATTAATATTATTATTATTGACATCTTCCCCTAATACGATTCTCTTCCTGCTCGTGTAGCTCAAACAAAAAGAAGCTTCTTAAACAATGTTTTCAAAGCTGCTTTAGTAAATACAATCTAACCTAGAATAACTGCTCAAGTGAAGCATGAGCTGGGAAACATTACTTCATCTAATCCAATGAAAAGAAATGTAGAAAGCATAATAAAATTCAATGGATTTTCTAGAAGATGTGACCCACACACTAGACAAGAAACTCCTGCAATGCTAAGTGCAGGTAATTAATAATTAACCTTATCTGTCGCAGATGCTGGAGTTGGAGGTTGTTCCTGAGGATCCCTTCTTGCTCTGTGCCTCATTTCCTCATTATTCTCTATAGCCTGTAACAAGTTAGACACCATTTACATGAGAAAGACTTGGATTCTCTCTTTTCCCCTTCCATTCCCCTTTCTCTTTTTTTTTTTTTTTTTAATTTAGGTTCGGAAAGGTGGTAAGCAAATCTATTCACCCCATTCATGGTACAGTAGCTAATAAAAGAAAGTTCAGCATGGAAAAGGAAACCACCTGCTGTATTCGAGTCCTCTTCTGGAAAATCTGTTCTTCATGAACAGCAACAGCCTGGATAAAATGCTGAACTCGATCCAGAAAAACCTGAAAATGTAGAATGATTGACTTGAGCTAGATAACTTCCGACAAACCCAACGAATCTAACAGATCTTGTGACACAATCTTATCAAGAGAAGCAATAGCTATATGTAGGGATGGCAATCGTATTAAAACAAAGTGAAGAGATTTCACTCTAATTTGTTCACTATTTCAGTAGAATATTGAATCAAGGAAACAGCCAGCTCAGCACCATATATAACTCCTACGAGCTCTAGGATGGCCCCAGGCAGCATACAACTGGAGCATAAAATGCAGATAGGTTGTGCTCATCTACCTGGCATTTTTATCAGACAAAACTTTAATACTCACTCCATTTTCCAACACTCACTCCCATCATATAGACAGATTAAGAAGATATTGATACTAATTTACCCAATCAGATCACCGAATATGTATCTTTAGGACACCAGTTATTTATTTGAATAGCTCCTATATTAGCCTCTACAACTTGTACAGGCCTCCTCACACTAATACATCCGACAAAAGTTGGGGAAAACTTGATACCTAATTACAGAGACATTAATATGCAATGCAGCATACTTCACATGCATTCTGTGAGAGCATTAAGTTACATCCATACGTGATACGTCAACATATATGTAGTGTACATTTATGTAAAACTGGAAATTACCTCACCCGCATCAGTAAGATAACCACCCATTGCAGAGAATTCCCTTCGGTAAACATGCATAAGCAAAGTTATAGCACCCTGAAAAGGCAACTTCTAGTAAGCATGATGGTGTATGTTTTTTTTCCCTATGAGGCTGATTGAAAGATGCATAAGGTAGCAAACATGTAAAATGCATCAAGTATTGGATCAGGTCATCAGGAAAATAGCCCAAACCAATACCATCAAGAAGTAAAACAAAAGTAACTAAATCATGGGCTGAGAGAGGAACTGATTTTCCACTATTCATAATCATGGCAGAAGTATATGAGAAAGATGAATCGAGAAAAAAACAAGCAGAACAAAAGATTTGATGTTTTAACATGATAATATACCTCCCTAATTTCCAAAGTTGGCATGTGTGGAAGGAAGTCATTGCCAACAAAGAAACACAGGAATACAAAATCGTCCATAATGCGCTCAAAGTTGATGGCAAATGGAGGATTTGGAATTTCCAAATCATATTCTAAATATTCCCGTAAGACCCAGATGTTGAGGAACTGTTGCAACAAGCACTCAAGTTAGAATATCAAAGAAGAATAATAAATTCTATGAAAAAATAAAAAATAATAATAATTGAAAAAGGGTTTCCACTGCACAACATCCTCCAACCTGATACTTTTTCTTGTGGATTGGAGTATCATTTTCCACATTCCAGTCCAGAGGATCACCTCCAGCCTTACTGCGACATTCAGCAGCAAGATGACCCGCTTGACCACATTGAAAACATTTATCCTGCTGTCCAGAAAATGTTACCATCTGCATCATTAGGATAGCACAAAGTTAGACAAGCTAAGGGCATCGATAATATAGGATGTAAGCCAGTATTTCAAGAGATTCAACCTCTCTTAGAATTGAAAAATGAATCTCATGCGTAGCTAAAGAAAGCATGATCAAATCCGCGTCCTGATAGAAATGAAAGGAAGTTGTGGTCAGCAAACACACACACACATATATAATATATCAATTAATGGAACTACACGGGTCTGAGGGACAAACATCGAGAAAGAAACTTACCAAGCCATACAGACAATGACGGGTGTTAGGGTTAAACCCAGGAAGGTTGCGTTGTGATCTAATATATGACATGATTTTGTGCTCTCCTTCACCAGGAACATTTGCATCAGAAAGAAGAACCTTCAAATAGCCAACCAGTGTAGCTCATATATAGGTCCGAACAGAAAAGACTATCTTGGAAACCAAATGTAACATTAAAAATAGGATATGAAGGGATTACTCGACACTGAACAAATGATCCAATCTCAAAGGGATCAAGGCAAAGGAAGAACAGTCAGACCTTTATATACCGCCACCCAGGGTTACGGTTCAACCTAGATTGTATATAGTACTGAAGTGCACTTGATAGTACTGCCATGAACGGAGTTCCAGGAGTGATGACATTGGAGTCTGATGTTTCAGGCTTTTCTTTAGGAGGCAAGAGTCTCCCCTCTGCCTCAAATTCTGTCCTCAATCTTTCTTCTTCAGCTGCAGCTTCAGCAGCATCTTTGGCAGCTCTAAAGCGACGAGATCGCTGCTGGTTCATTTTAGCTCTTGGTGCAACCCCATCTACCAAATAGGGAAGGGAATCAACTACTACAATACTAAACAGCAACATACACAAATGTGATGTGAAACTTACCTATCGCCATATAGAGAATCTTCCTTGGGCGAACCAATGAAACTATATGGTCAATGTAATCAAATATTGTCCTGAACACATCATCGTAAGTAGCCGGTGCTGGCTGTAAAAGAAAGCATTAGTTTATAGTATTAGGATACACCACCTACTTTTATCATTTCAAAGAATGAAAACTGCAGTTATGGCGAAGGAAGGCCAGAAAGATTCCCCAAGGCAATGTCTTTCACAATAAAGGAACAATCACAGCAAGCAGGAACAACTAGAATTTGTCCCCAATTCGATTCTTATGAAAGCCCTGTAAGCAATGACATTTATACACACACATAGAATCCCCCCCCCCCCCCCCCAAAAGATTAACCCGTCCCAAAATCACTTCTTATAGGAACTACAGTCTAAACAACAAAAACTTTCACACTAAACATAGAACATGTATTCCTCACTTCAGCATCTTATTCTCTTGCAGATAGCTATATACCAACTCATCAAATCATGCTGATCGAGACTGAAGTCAATCACATTGTACAATCACTTACACCTATGGGCCAATCTATCACTCACAAAACAAACAAAAACATTCCGCTTAGCAGCACATTTCTCCTTATCCCCTCATGTTTACAACTCCACTCACGATCACAAATGAAGCTTACAAAGAAAAGAAGACACTATCAAGACACCAACTTCACGAACTCAAGACAGCTCAGAGATCAGCTAGCGTTCCCAAACTTGACAAACAAAAGCTACATTCAACACTCCACCAATTCTCATTCCGAACAAGAATTGAAAAGGCAGGGGAGACAATGATGAGACAATCAGTAGTAATTCACCAAGCCCTACATTTAGAGGAAAAAAGGGGGAAACAAAAAAGCATACCCTGCCCTCGGGATGGAAGCAAGGGTGAATGATTCCATTCATGTCCAAGTACAGATTGTCGAACTCCATGCCATTAGGGTTAGGTCTGGAGAAATCAACAGGTCTAGGGATGCCACTCGCGTCCGCCTGCGGCTCCTCCTCCACGACATCGGCAATTGCAAGCGGGTAGCGGTCCGCGAGCCACCTGTAGAACGCCGGCACTCCCATAGCTCAGCCGACGATACGCAACGAAAAAAAAGGGGTCGGCGTCGGTCTCCCAAAGGCGAGATCACGGTTTGTTGGGAGATGCTTATCTGTAAGCGGAAGTCAAAACGGAGACGAACACACCAGGTCGTTGGAGAGAGAGAGAGAGAGGGCGGAGGAGTTCGAGATCTGCGTGTTCGGGCCGGGTCCGTCGGGGGAGTCGGGACGGATCGGATTGGTATGATTTGGGTCACGTTGTATGGCCCGAAATGCCCTTTTGAAGGCAATATCGCCGTAGCGGTAAAAAATACGAAAATAGGGGTTGTAAGTGGAGGGGTAAATTTTTGTTGGATGAAAAAGTAGGGGTGCAAATAGAGTGAAAAGTAAGTAATTCTATTATTTTAAAGTAGATTTTAAAATTTTAAGATTATAAAATAGATTTTAAGATTTTAAAATATTATCATAAAATAATAAAATAAATATTACTATATAATAATAAATATACTTTACTAAAAATAGTTATTATATAATAATGCTCAAATAATAATTAATTATAACAATTGTAATAATCGTTGATCGAGCAATCTCAAAACTCGAAACTCAACTCGTAATTGGTCATCCTATATAGGGTTTTCGTGTCTAGTTTAATCTTAAATTGTCAAACTTAGTCAAACACGTCCGAATTTGTAAGTTTTAACTATTTAGTCAAATAAACTGAGTTAAGCAAATAATTTCTCTCTATCTTTTCCACAAACACCTCGTATCTCTAATTTTCAATGCAAATTCGATTCAACCAAGAGATCTAGATTTGACTTGACGAACATTGATAAACTTGTTTCCAGAGTCAAATGGTCAACCCCGAATAATGTTTACATTAATTATATTTATAAAAAGAAGAAATTGATAATATTAATTATTATATAATTATATATAACACAATTAGAAAAATAAAATTCCATAATTCTCCCCTCCCCCTCTCTTCCTTCCTTCCCTTGCACCCCAATTCGGTGGGTAAGCCGAAACAGTAAATTTGCACTCCCGTTTTGCACCCCCTACTGTTCCAAATTAACCAAACAGGTGCAAATGTGTTGGAAACTGTGTTTACCCCTCACATTTGCATCCTCCTCCCATTTACCCCTCTTCCCAAACAGAGTGTATAAGCCAATGTCAAAATACAACTTTTGCCACATCAGCCTTTGCTAAAACGACCGCACAATTAGGAGGGCCTTTCCCGTAATTTCCCCAATCCTTCTCCTTCACGCATTCTGTCTTCCAATTTCTCACCGGAAATCGACCCCTTTCTCTCTCTCTCTTGCCGTCTCAACCTCTTCTATATTCGAAGCCCCACCGAAAATCGAAGTCCTCAATCGTTGTCCAACATATTAATCGAAGACCCTCACTTAATCGAAGTCCAATCATTCTCACAACGTCGCCATCTATGTATTTCCTACTCTGGGCCTCGGTGTTTAGTTGCCGATATGCTTTGTCGGCGTCTGTGTGTCCGCCACCTGCTGTCGATTTGTCGCTCTTGCTGTCCATCCCTCTCTGTGCTCTCTCTCCAAGGGCGAAGTATTCCCAAGTCATCATGGGTAACCCGCCTCTCTTGCTGTTTGTCACACCGGAAATTGAAGTCTCCTCCGTCCCGCTCCATACTCACTTTCTAGCAGCAAAGAATTCCAAGCCATCCCAGTTACCTGCCTCTCTCGCTCTTACTGTATGTCTCGCTGCTCATAGTCGAGAAACCTCGCATAGCGCCTTATCAGAGCAATATTACCTGTTCCTGACTTCCTGTAAGTTCCCTCAATTTGGTTTCTGTGTATTTCGACTTCTCGGAATCTGTTAATGGGATTTATGTGCTTCTTTTTCTTCCATTCATTTTACCTTTCCAAATGGGTGTTTGATCCAATTGGTAAATGCTACGCGTCGATGGTTTTGTTCTACAGAAGCATACTGATTTTCTGTGCTTTGGAATTTGAAGTTGGAAATGAAATGGATCTGTTTGGTTGATTACATCACCATTTCATTGTCCATGTGTTTATCACAACTCCAAGTTAGATTTTCTGTTTTTCTTGACAACAGGTAGTCTGTGTATCACTTTTTGACACTAGCAATTTGAAACTCCTGCGACTATTAGCTGCAACCTGTAGCCTGTAGGCTTATTGCTTCCCTAGAGTTATTAAGTTATGTCTCAAATTTTACTTCATGGTTTTATCATTTATGTTTCGTTTTGTTATGTTACCTTGATACCTCTGTGAGTAGCTTATTCTTCCTCGGTAGAATGGTTTCTATGATGGGTAGTTCTTTCTAACACATTTTAACTCTTCTTTACATATTTATATCCTTTTGATGGAAAGTGAACTTGCAAACTTAATGGAAGCATAAAATGACACAAAGGAAATCCACCAAGAGTCGTGGAGGTCACAAGGTGTGAAAACCAACAGCAAAGGGGGAAAAAAAAGATTGGAAGGCAGGGAGACAAGGGTGCAAGCGAGAGCTATACTGGTACAAAATCATAGAATCTAGCTACAGGAGCCTCCTACCGCGTGAGGATAGGATGGAAACCCCCTCAACAGACACTTTGAAGAAAGCAGTATAGGTAAGAAAGCAACAGAGTTGTGCAGGCTAATGCCCCGTTCACTTGCCATTTTGTTTCTTGTTTTTTGTTGCCAAAACATAAATAAGGAATCACAGACAATAAAATGTGTTCACTTGCCATTACGTTTTCATTTGGAAAATCCATGCGGCAACTATGGGGAAGTTACAAGGAAATGGAAAAAAGTTGTTTCCCAGGAATACATGACACGGGTTTCTCCCCGTTTCTTGGTGGAAAATGATCACTGTACATTAATGAAGTTGGTTGTTCGAACCTTCCCTCCAACATTATTTTTCCCACCCTTTTCTCTATACTCAAACCCTTCTTCTCACTTCGTCTGTCTCATTCTGCAGAAGCGGCTTTCTGCTCTTCAATCTCGATCCCTCGAACTTCCTTTCTCTCTACACCCAACTTCGAACTTCCTCTGCTCTCTCAAAATTTTCTGCTCCAACAGCCGCTTTGTCCTCGTCCTTATCCATTAGCCTCTTCTTCCCCTCTAATCCTCTGTCTCCGCCACGAAATCCTCGCCTGCCCTCAATCCCAATCTGCCGCCGCTACCTCTTTTTCCTAGCAGCCGCCACATCTCCGCTGCGTTCTGGCCGACATTGTCACATCCGGTAAGTCTAGGATCCTAGGTTTTTGGATTCTTCTGTAATTTGTTCTTGTTGTTGTGTAACCCAATACTCAGCCAAGGAGTTCAACTATCAGTTTCCTATAAAACGAAATTGCGAGCTCCAGGCCAATCTTCCAAGTACACGACAACATATATGTTTGTTTGTTTTAGGTGCTTTCCAACTTCAACGGTTAGCAATATATATATATATATATATATATATATATATATATATATATATATATATATATATATCAGTTTTGTTTTCTCAATATATTAGGATCCACTCTAGTGACGACACTCTGTTTGAAGGTGCTCAAAATTATTCCACTCTTAAAAACTATTTAATTCGAATTAAAAATTATAATCATGACTAGGGTTGTATGATAATCAAGAATCAGAAAACAGAATGAAGCAACTAAACAGGTTTTCTTTTTAGAACTCAGTTTCAGAACTCACCAAAATTCTCAGCTAAACAAGGTTTTTTCAGGTTTTGTTTTCCAGGAAATGGTCAGCTTCGTTTTCATTTTAATTTTGTTTTCTGTTGTGCCAGCTAACAGAAATGGAATGGCAAGTAAACGGGCCATAAGGTGTATATATTATACGTTTGTCATAATTAATAATGCAATTAAAACTTTCACTTTGCTGCAGATTGACTTCTTTTCATATAAAAGCAACATGATTTTATTGGTAATAGAGAGAAGCAACACAAAACACTGCACCAACCAAAAACAAGAGAAACAAGACACAACAAGCATCAACAGCAAATAAATAGATTATAGGCAAAATACAACTGTATATCCACAACTATCAGATTTGTGACAAATATATCCATAACTATCGAAATGCATGAAATATCCAAAAATCAATGGGGAGTGCACTCTAGTTCTTCATTGCATAAAGAATATTGGACAGAAATGAATGAACATTACTATCTTCCTATTGTGCAAGCACAAACTCTCGGGTGAGGATCATACCTACTACCTACCTTAGGCCAAACATTCAACGTGCGCTCTGGGGGATTCTCAGAAAACAAACACTAATTAGAAATCTTGAAGGTGCTCTTTGTTCTCTCTTTAGATTTAGGAGTTGTCGTTTATTGGTCTCCTTTTTTTCTTACATTGACGCACATTGCACCAAGCTTTTGCAATTATTTTGCAAACAAGCATCTCTTCCTCATCACAAAGAGCGGATGAATCGTAGCCTTCCCTTTCAAGGTCACATGTGAGGAAGTTGATGGGCGAATTCGTCTTAGCCCGAGCACCGCTTCCCAGCCTGCACTCCACATTGGGTTGCCACACATGTCGGGTACAAACGAGAGCTATGAGGTCTCATGAATCACTAAAAGGTACTTTGGTACTTGGAATATGATTCCGTAAGGAGGAAAGGTACTCGAGGAAAAATAGTTCGTGCCAGATTTGTCATATTGGATAGTTTAGGACACAAATGACACTTTTTGAATATTTTGGGCTTTCTAGTGTAATTAGTCCTACAAAATATTAGCCAAATGTTAGCTTCCATTTAGCAGTTTTGTTAGTAATATTGATTTGGCAACATGATACTGGTTTGAAAGAGACACATGGAAGCCAACATTCAAAAACTTTAGTATCTTAACTACCAAAAGGGTTACAAAATTCTTAACGTTAACAAAAAAATGGCTAATATTTTGATGCGGGTTGGTTGTGATTACCCACAAAGTTATGATTATGTAAACCACAAACTGTACTACTGTGGTTAGTGGGTAACCACTACTCACCGCGATTTGGTGCGGGTTGGTTGTGATTACCCTCAAAAGTTCATCTCTGTAGGTGTGGAGCT